GTCTGAACTTCCACAGTGGCTTGAAGACTGGATCTCTGCTGTATGCCTTCTGAAACGCCCGCTTCGTTCGGTTATCCAGCTGGAGTGAGCTGATCACCGTGCTGTCCTCCATTGACGCTGCGTTCAACCTCATGCGCCACTGGGCGGTGCCAACGCCAAGCACCTTTGTGGCCGGCTGTTTGACGGCAAGCATCAGAGCTTGATCCCGGGACGGTATGCTTTGGAGCTTCGCCGTAGCCATGGTACGCCGCGAGACCACGTCGCGAATGTTCGTGCATGTGGTAGAGGTCAAACACGTCGTACACACAGCAATCGGCTCGGCCTTGGGCTCACAATCCTCCTGCCCCTCCCCCAGACTTGATGTAGTGTCGGGGGGACGCGACAACGCGTCCGCGACGACATTCAAAGCTCCTGGACGACGATGCAGAGTAAACTGGAAGGACGCAAAGAAGTCGAGCCAGCGGGCCAGGCGGCCAGATAGGCGTGGATGCTGCAAAAACCACTTGCACGCCGCGTTGTCTGTATACACTTCAAACGAGACTCCATGGAGGTAATGACGCCAACGTGTAAGCGCCTGCTTGATCGCAAAGAGCTCCTTCTCGTGAACAGGCCAGTTCAGCTCGTGAGGTCCCAGCTTCTTGCTGAAGAAAGCCACGGGGAGATCGTTGCCATCATGCATTTGAGAGAGAACTCCGCCAATGCACGCATGGCTGGCATCCGTTGTCACGATGAATGTTTTTTCAAAGTCTGGCAGACGAAGCACCGGTGCGTGCTGGAGCGCGAGCTTAATGGCATTGAACGCCTGGCGCTGGTGTTCATTCCATACCCAAGCAACATCCTTCTTGGCCAGAGAGCTCAGAGGCAGTACCAACGTTGAAAACTGGTGGATGAAGCGACGATAGTACCCGGCGAGGCCCAAGAAGCGTTGGAGGTCCTTAATGTTGCAAGGCTCGGCCCACTCTGCGATGACTCGAGTCTTGCGAGCATCCACGTGCAACCCATCAGCAGAGATGGTGTGGCCCAGGAAGTCAACCGAGGGTTGCCCGAAGTCGCACTTGTCAGGACGGGCGTAAAGCTTGTTAGCGCGAAGGACTTTGCAGACTTGCCGTAAGTGCTCAACGTGGTCAGCCATCGATCGCGAGAAGATACAGATGTCGTCAAGGTACACGACCACGAACAGTAGATGACTCAACAGCTTGCACATCAGACGGGTCCACGTGCCGGCCAGACCCATGGGCGCCACGTTCCAATGATAGATCTCATGGTTCGTCCTGAATGCCGTGTATTGCTTTGACGTCGGAGACATGCGCATCTGATGGTATCCACTCGCTAGGTCGAGAATCGAGAAGACCACAGCACCCACCATGCGATCGAAGAGTTGTTCGATGTGCGGTAGCGGGATCTTAGCCACATCCGAGGAGGCATTCACCAAGCGATAGTCAATGACCC